TAAAATTAATTCTAAGATTAATTAATTCAAATACACAATAATATATTTAATAAAACTCCAACTTAAGTCTATAATATCATTATAAAAATTACTAAAAATATATTTATAATGTTTCTTATTTAAATTTCAAAAAATCAATTAAAGAATCCGCATTAAAAATAATTAATTAATTTTATGATATTACTAATAAATAAATAATAAGATACAAAATTAATAATATGAATTTTCTAAAGAGATAAAATAATTAATTGACAATAAGAAATATAAAGATAAATTAATAATTTGTATTATAATGAATAAAGTTTCTTAAAAACCTAAAATTTTTAAAAATTAAAATAATTTGATTTAAATAAAATGAAAATTAAGCTTCAAAAAAACTATGATATTTTAAGCCAAAAATATTTTGTTCTATTAATAAAAAAAAAAAAAAATTTATTAAGGTAATTTAATTATTTCTGTATTAATTAATTATTTAAAATTTATTTATAATAAAAAATAATTATACTTAGATTCCGAAAAGATTAGTAAATTATAATCATAAATGAAACTTCTAAGAATTTCAGTATTATTGGATTTAGGACAAGTGAAAGTAAAACTGGATACATGCTAATGAAATGATGAGCTTGTAAATTTATATTTACGGGGTTTATTTCAGAAATATTAAAATGAAGAAGTTAAAATATATAACATGATAATTTAAAAATATATTATGCATTTAATTAAATGCATTTGAATGAAATATTTATAAACATTTTTTATTGGATTTTACGAAAATATTAATTGTTAAGATTTCGAATAATATTCAAAAGAATAAAAAATTTAAAATATTATTATGAATAATTATTATATAAATAAATATATTAAAATCAAGTTATATTAAATTAATAATTTAAATATAAAAAAAAATATGCTTAAATAATAAAAGGAAAAATTATTGAAGTTTTAACATACGAAAATCAAAGAAAAATATAATAAAAATAAAAATATAATATATTTATATGTTTTATATGTTAATAGATAAATATAATAATTTAATAGTATATTTGATTTATTTTTTATTATATTATTTAACAAAAGAAATGATTGTGTCTAAATATTTATAAAAATTGTTTTAACAATAGATACCATATTATAGTAGATGTTTTTTGCATTTATATTGTTTTACATTTATGATATATATCCATTTTTATAATATGAAAGTATTTTTTACTGTTTTTTTTCTTTATTCATCATGTAAATTACAATAGAAATAAATTATCTCCAAGTTTTAACATATTTCATTAATTTTTTGTTTAATGCTTATGTGAAAACCTAATAGTTTTCTTCCTTCATGTTCCTGTTATCAGTTGTTAAGAATAGTTCTACGTTAGAATAAGCTTTTAAAATTTTATTAATCGTAATTAACCCATTTATGTCATTATTTACATTAATAAGAATACTTACAGTTTATTAAAATATTTTGCTAATAAATTTATTCTTATATCCAACGAAAAATTAATTATTGTTTCTTATTAAACATAACTAATATCAATTTAAAAATAATAAATTCCAAAATTTCATCTTAAAATTAAAAGTAAAATAAGAATTAAATAATATTGCTTAAATAGTGTGAAAATTTTATCTTAATAATTTCATTATTAGTTTATTTTGTTTTATATTCTTTTTTTATATATGTATTCATTTTTATTTTATTTTAAATTAATTTATTAACTTTTCTTTTTCTTTATTTACAATTTTTACTGTTATTAAAAGTTTAATGTTCCTAACTATTATATATATTTAAATTAAATTATTTAAACAGAAGCATTAAAATCAGCATAACATAGAGCATAAATAACAATAATTAAACCTTTTAATAACAATAATTAATATTGAAATAAAAAAATATTATTCATTTAAATAATTCAAAATATTTATAAGGTTTATTATATATATATTTTCAAATTTAAAATTATATTAAAATATTGAAAATTTATTTATATAAGAAAATAAATAAATTAAAAATTTATTAATTCTATAATTTCAATAAAATTTATTCTTAAAAGATTTTTAGTGTTTTAATATTTACTGAAATTTAAAAATTACATAAAAATTATATAATTAAAATAATGATAGTAACTATATATTTTTGTATAAGATAAAAAATATTTTATTTTAAGTAAAACAGATATATTAAATTATATAATATAATATTATATTATATTATATTATATTATATTATATTATATTATATTATATTATATTACATCGAATAGCATATTAAAATTAGTAACAAAAATATTATAAAATAAAAATAATTGATTATTTTTTAATACTTTTAATTTAATAAAACATATTTTAAAAAAATAAAATACAAATATTTACTATATGTGGAATTAATTTATAAAAAAGAATAATAAGATTAATAAGACTAAGAAAATTAAAAGAAATAAAAAATAATTAATTAAACATAATCATCAACATTTAAATAATAAATTTCTGCGATATATAAGTTGTTGCATGAATTATAACGTATTCCTACTATTTGAATATTACTAAATTATTAAATGATTCAAATAATGATCACATTTAAATTAATTAAGTATGAATAAACTATATTTTACAAATTCTATATGTTGTATGGTATAAATTACCTAATGATAAAAGTTTGAAAGCAATAATAAAATTAATAAAAAATATAATTTTATTAAGTCATAATAATGTATGCAGATTTTAATATTAATTTATTAAATAATATATAATTAGCATAAAAATAATAAAATTAATTTTTATATAAATAATCGTTTAAATGGGACAAAATTAAGTTAAGTTAACATGAAAAGAATTGATAATATTAATTATACACATCAATAATATAATAAAAAAGGAGAAAAAATATAAACAAATATTTATCATTTTTGGATTTGTAATAAAATATAATAACAACAATTTAATGCATCTATTTAAACTATTACAGATATATAGTATACAGAATCTTATCATAAACCAAGATAAATAAATTTAAAGATTGAATTAAAATAAATTTATATTTAGCCAATATTATAGAAAAATTCATTAAGTAAAATCAATTTTTACTCTAAACAGCTTTTAATATAAGTTAAAACACAAACGTGATACTTCATTTAATTTAAAAACTACATAATTATAATTAAAAGTTTAATAATGGAATAGTGCGAAATTTGAGATAACTAACTCCAAAAATAAAACTTGAGATAAAAAGCCTGTAAAAATTATTTAAGGAATCTAAACTTCAGTAAAAAGATATACAAAGAAAACAATATAATAAATGCCGAAAAAACCAAACAAAATATAAAAAACAGATATTTCGAATATATAAAAACAAATTATTTATAAACTATTGAAAAAGTAAATAATCTAAAATTTACAGACTCAAAGGAATATTTTAAAAAACTAAAAATAATATATAAATTTAGAAAATAAGGAAGAGTATTTGAATATAAAAAAACGGAACTATACAATGAAAATAATAATCCGTCCTATGAATATAAGAACAAAATTAAATATTAGATAAATATTTTAAATAGCATTTTTTTCAACAAATATTAAAATTAACTCAACAGCTTTATAAAATTTAAGTTAATAATAATAAGAAATAATTGTAAATAATATAAAATAGAAAATATTTCTAAAGGAAAGGCTTATACTGAGGATCTAATTAGTGATAATGTATTGAAAACAATAAAGACTACAAATAAAAGTTTAAATACTGAAAATAAGAATATAGTATTAAATAATATTAAGAATATTATAAATATAATTATAAATAATCCTTTAAAATATACCCATCATTTTAAAGCAAGATAAATATATGTTATAAAAAATTAATATAAACTATAATTTCAAGATTGTCGACCAATTACAATACTTCCTTTATTTGTAAAAATAGTTGAATCAGGAATTATGTAACATATAAAAAAACTTTAACAATAAAAAATAATAAATAAGATATAAAGTTATTAAACAGGATTTGCTAAGGGAAAAAGTACTTCGATATAAATAATACGGCTTTTAGAATGGGGGAAATAATAAATATAAGTTTAAAATAATTACCTTTTAGTTATTTTTTTTGATTTTAAGTCGGCTTTTAATAGCATTTTAAGACAAATTGTTTTACATACTTTTAAAGAAATTAAGGATTTGATAATGACACAATAATAACAATATAATGGCTATATTAAATTATTAGAGTAAATGAACATGATATAAGAAGAGGATGCTTATAAGGATCTTGTTTATCTCCTATGCTATTTACAATTGCATTACATATTTGAAGAAATCAGAACAAAAATAAATCACAATGTTCTAGAATTATTTTTTGCTGATGATTTATTTAGCATGCTTATTTAAATAAAATATACCAGTAATAATACTGCAAATAGATGATAAATATATGTTAAATTTATGGTCTTGAACTAAATACAGATAAATGCGAATGGATGATTATAAATAAATGTAAAAAAAATAAAGATAATATAATAAAAAACTAAATATATCAAAATAAATTAAATACTGTCAGTTTAGGTGTAGAATAATTTAAATTTAAATAATGTAATTAATTTAAATATTTAGGAGTGATAATATAAGAGAATATGAAACTTGACTAATAAATAAATAAAATTAAGCTTTAAAAATATGAATATTTAACATATAGGCACAGATAAGATAATTAAAACTTAGAAGCAAATATAATCGTATGGAAAATATTTATAAAATCTTAATTTTAATACATATGCACGATAATGAAGTAATTAGATAAAAGAGAAAATTATTAAAATAAACTAAATTAACTATATAAACAAATTTTTTAGAAATTATTAAATATACCAAAATATTTAAATATTGAAAAAATAATGAAGGATTTAAACTAAGATAATCTTGAAACTATGTCAATAAAATATTCAAAGTACTTAATAGAGCAATAAAATATGGATAAAGAATAGACTTTACTAAATTAAAAATATAAAATAAATTAAATTGACTAATAGAATATAAAATTAAAATAATACCAAGTAAATAATAACATAAAAGAATAAAAAATTAAACAAAAAAATATTAAAAAAAATTACTAATAAATGATTATTTAATGTTTTATAAAATATAAACCAAACAAAAAGTAATGAATTGTAAATGTTAAGAAATACATAGTTATACTGAATTATTATTAAGGCATATGATATATGAAAACGAAGAATAAAAATATGATACTTTAAAAAATATAGAAAATATAAAATAAAAAGATTTTAACATTTGGAATCAATCTAAATAAATGCTAATAAAATACAAAATTATAAATTTAAATTTATAAAAATTATTAATATAATACGGTATTGTAGAAAAAAAAAATTGAATAAAATTAAGACAAAAAAAAAAAAAAAAAAAAAATTAAAAATTAATTATTAATTATTTAACACAAATATAAAATATTATGTATTCTATATTTAGTGTAAATAAAAAAATATATTATATATTATATTTTATATTTTATATTTTATTATTTTATTATTTTATATTTTATATTTTATTATTTTATTATTTTATATTTTATATTTTATATTTTATATTAATAACATTATCTGATTCAGAAGCTTTTTTAAAAAATTATCTTTATAAATTATTTAACAATTGATAATTTATAAAATTTTAATATTTGTCATTTTTATTTTCTAATTATATATAAGAAACATTATTTTTAAAAACATTTAATTTTATTTATAGTCGGTTATTTTATTTAATATAGTATATGAAAAAGCATTTATTATTATTTTCATTAATTCAAAATACTTTTTCTTAATCGTCCTAAATTTTTTTTTTTTTAAAAAAAATAAATCTATGATTATATTTAATTTTTAAGGTAATAAACTTTTTCTTTATTTAGATTAAATATTAATTCATAATCTTAATTTCAAAAACAATCCCATAAAATTAAATTTTTTATTTTTTTGGATATGATTTTTTAATTGGAATAATAAATTATAATTACTTATATATTTTTATTTAATTTATTATCTTATTAATAAAAATTTTGAACTACAATTTTTTTTTTTTATTATTTTTAAAATTTACTTTATTATATATATTAATAAAAAAAAGATTGGAATTAAAATAAGGCCTTATTTTATGGAATTTATATAAAATTATCTTAGTATTGGGATATATATATTTATTGCAAGTTATTAAAAATAATTGCAGAAGAAATATATTTTTTTTAAAATATATTCTATTTACAAAATTAAATTATATATAGTTTATTACTTCATTTAATGTCTTTGAATTTTTATTTCTTATGTATTATTAATTTAAAATATTTATTTTAACTCAGTGATTTGAATTAATCTTCTATATTAATACTTTTTGATTCTCTATATAAATTAATATAAGAAACTAATGAAAAAAATTCTTTGTTTTTTAGTTTTTATTATTTAATAAAATATATTTTTCTATAGCCCTGTATTAAAAATCAATTTACACTGAGGATTAGAAGGGTTAATTTAAAAAAATTACTTCTGCTCACATATATTTATACTATTATTTATAATTTGTATATTTAATTTCATAATATTTTTGGAATCTTCAGTATTTAAAAATGCTCAAAATCTATGTAATGTAAATTAATCGGGTAAATTATATAATAATAATTATTTTCTTAAGATTATTCGTCAAGAAAACATTATATATGCATTTATTATTATATATTAATAAAAATATTATATTTTTTATAATGATAATAATTGCTATTGTTAAAAAAATCTCAATATATAAAAGATTATGATTTTATTTTGATTTTTGATTTTAATGTTTTTACTTAAAAAAAATATTGAGAATGAAAATATTAAAACTTTGGAAAATTTAAAAGAAATATGATATTTAATTTTTTTTCTTTTTATTTGCTTGATTTAAACTTCTTTATTATATAAAAAAATTAAGAATTAAATATTTTTTATAAATTTCAAGATAATGATAAAAATCTTAATTTTGAATATAATTATATCATTAATTATTTATAATAAATTTGAATATAAAATATATATTTTAATAAAATTAATAACCTATTTTTTTCTAAATTCACCAAAAATTAATTTTACAAAAAAAAATATATCACAAAAATTTATTTGAAAAGAAATAAATTTTTCAAATATAAAATACAATTTATACTCAAAATTATATGAAATGAATAAAAAGCAAAAATATACATTAAATATTTATTTTATTTGTTGGAAATTATAATATCTTTATAAAAAAATATTATTTTAAATCAAAAAATTTATTGTAAAAATTATTAAGAGAATCATAATATGCATTAATAGCGTTACATATTATTTTATTTTATACTATATTATATTTATACTTTTATTTTTTAAATTATTAAGAAATTTAATTTTTTTATATTATATAAAATAAAGTTTTTTTATATATTTAAAAACTAAATATAAAGCATAATGTTTTAATTATGTAAACATTATTTATTAAATTTTTATTTTTAAATTAGAAATAAGTTGAGATTGTCTGTAAAAATGATCTGTACTGAAACAAAGCGAAAGTACTTTTTAGTTTTTTTTGGAGTTAAAGTCGGAGTCTAAGTTTAAGCCTAACTTTGGCTTTTATTTTAATATTTAACCAAAGCTTAATCGGGTCTAAATTTTTTTATTAAATTAAGGTTAAACTTTTATAAAACGAAATCTAAAACTCAGATTTCCCGAGATAATTTAATTAAAATATAGTTTTTTTTCTTTTTAGAAATAACTTCAATTTTTAAGAAAATATTACATTTACATAAAAAATTTCTAAAAATAAAGTTTTTTCTATAAAATTTGATTAAAATATTTTTTATTTTTATATTTATAATTTGATAATTCTTTTTAATTTTAACTTTTTAAATTAGATAAAATATAAATACATTTATTTTTTGTTATAAGTTATATATTTTTAAATCGCTTTTTTTATTTTTTATATAAATAAGTTTAATAATTTTTTTTAATTTGTTTAAATAAAATATATGCTATTATTATACAAAAATTATATTTTTTTTCTTCAAATAATATAAATTAAAAATAAAATATAAATATTATCAAAAAATTATTAATATTATATAATTCTACTTTTATAATCTTTAACTTAATATTATCATTTTTATTTTTAATTTATTTGATTATTGATCAAATTATAATTTTTAAATTGATTAAATAATTTCTGGAGTATTTTAACCCTAATAGTTTTATTAGACGCTATTTATTTATTTTTTGTTTAAAATAAAAAATTGATATAATAAATAAAATTATAAGAAAAAATAAAATATTACTATGATTGTGCATTCTATTGTAAATTATTTTAGAATTACTAACTTTATTTATTATTATTTCAATAAATTAAATTTATTATTATCTTATTCATTTTATTCAGCTACTATTTGCATTTCCTATGTATCTTCTTATCAATTACTATTTTTTAGATTAATTTTATTTATGTTTTTTTATAAAATTGTTCTTTTATTTCTATTTTTTTTATTATAATTTTTTTCTTAATCCGAAATTTTTTATTAATTTTTTTTTTCTTTGTTTTTTTTTAAAACTCCTTTACCCCAGTAGTTTTTATACTATTTTAATAATTCTGCTACCTTTTAAAATCTATATGAAAATAATTATTTAAAATAGAAATTTTTTATAGAAATATAAAATTATTCTGGATTCATTTCTCTTTAAATACTATTTTGATTAATATCAGATTTTATAAATAGATATTAATATGTTCTTGTTTAAGGTCTTCTCTATTTATAACTTAGATTTAAAATTATTTTTCTGCGTATTTTCCAAAACTAAATCCTAAAGTTTTTAAGTTTTTAGTTTAAAGCAATTATTCAGTTAGTCTTAATAATCCATAAACTTTTGGATCTATTTATTCAAGTTAGACAGTATTTTTCTATTTTTATTTTATTCATTTTTACCTTAATATAGTTTCAAATTTAAAAAAAATATTTTCTATTTAAATTTTTTATAAAATAAAATTCAAAAATCAATTTTTTTTTTTTCAAAAATTAATTTTTTATTTCAAAAAAAAAAAAAAAGTTTCAAAAAAAATAAATATTAATTTTTAATTTAAAATATATAAATATTTTCCTTATAAAAAAAATATACAATTAAATAATGAATAAATAAGCTAAGTTAAATGCTAAAAAAAAAGCTCGTTCTACTTCGCCATAGCTTGAATTGATATTTAAAAAAAGAAATTTATAATTTTTTTACAAAAATATTTTAATAAATCTTCATTCTTCTATAGTTTCATATAGTTTAAACGACTAAATAATACTTCAAAAATAATAAATTCATTACCTATAAATTCTTATGATATTGATTAGTTCTTTTTATAAAAAAATTAAATTTTTGATTTTAATACCTAATACAAAGATTTCTAGAAGCTCATAAAACTTATTTATACAAAAAAAATAAAGAATAAAAAAAAAGAAAAGAAAAGCTTTGTTTGACATAAAGAAAATTAATTATGTTGCAGTTAGAATTATTAGCAGGTCATTCGGATATTAGTTAACTTTCTTAATAATTTTATTTAAAAAATAAATAAATAATAAAATATCTAAAAAAGCCATTAATAAAGAAAATGCTTATTGTCTATAAAAAAGGAAGAAACAAAAAAATATAAGCAATAAATTATCTGGATTAAATTATGCAATAATAAACTAAAATTAATTTAATTTAAATGATATTTATGAAAAATTTATTTAATATTTTTATTAAAGTTATAATAAATAAATACCTTCAATTTCAACCATTTATAATGCAATAACTAAATCTAAAATATAGTTATAAAAAAAAAATATTACTTAAAACTAAAGAATTTAATGATTAAGCTTTAAATAAAAGAAAGGAAATTGCTATTAAGCTTTCAAAAATATATTTAAATCCACAATTAATACCAATTTTTATTGATGAATCAGATTTCAATATAAATTTAATTAGCCGCAATTATGGTTGGGGAAAAAAATCTAAAAAATATATAATTAATAGTAAATAAAATTTGGAAATTATTCTTTATTACGAGTGAAGATTTTTTTTCGTTTATGGTTAAATTATTAAATTTACAAAATTTATAATAAAATAAAAAACTGGTAATATTTAATATTTTTAGATATCGCAAAAACAGA